CTAGCAAAAAAATACAAAATGTAAATTTTGGAGAGCTATATAAACCTAAAACTTCCAGTTATTATCCATAAGAAAGAAAAGTTCAAAAAACAGATAGGTCATTGGGTAGAGAACTGCATACAGAACATGTACTAGATAAAATTTATTAAAACAAATATACCAAAATCGATCATCTTTCATTAAAACAAATATACCCAAAACGATCTTTTTGTATCAAAACAAATATACCAAAATCGATATTTTATCTACTACATGCTCTGTATGCAGTTCTCTATCCAATGACCTACCTGTTTTTTTAACTTTTCTTTCTTATAGATAATAACTGGCAGTTTTAGGTTTATATAGCTCTCCAAAATTTACATTTTGTATTTTTTTGCTAGATGGTATTAAAACAAAATTTGGTAAAGGTATGCAAAAAAAATAGAATTCATGAAACTACCAATAATTTTGTTTCATTTTTAAATGGTCATTTCCATTATATAATAAAAAAAAGTCTGAAAACATACAACCAAATAACAGAAATATTTTTAATGTCAGTTTTGTTTTGAAAAAAAAACCATACATCAAAGTAAGCAGAACAATAAAAAAATGTTCTATTTCAATAAATTCTTTTAAGGAGCATTCCTTTTATAATTTTCCAGTTGTACAATCCCTTTTAAAGTAAGTTTCAAAAAATCTGTTACATTCATGAATTGCCGTATTTGAGAACCATTAAATAATCTTTAATTTTTCCTTACTAAGGTTCGAAAATGTCTACAAAAGTAATTAAAACAATATTCCAATTACTTTTGCAATCCAAATGTAAATTTGCATTGAGTAAAATTTTACATTATGTCTATATATCTGTCCTTATCAAGATTGAAGAAATAAATTTCATTAATAATCAATAATTGATATTTAAATAACAGATAAAAATATGTAAAAATGCAATAACTAAAAAACAAAAGTACATTCAATATTTTCATAAATTAAGTCGTTGGGCGCTTAAAAACATAAGATATCCAGGGCAAATTTTAGTATGTATGTTATTTTTTGATGTATCTAAGATAAGCCTATCAAAATATAAAAAAAAATTATTTCACGCTAGGTGAGACCGTTAATTATTCAAAAAACCTTTTATAGCGCTAGAGTTTAGTTTAATTCARAATATTTAGGAAAAAAGTATGTTTCGATATTTAAATATATTATTATATATTTAAGTTGAAGCTAATATTTTTAAATGCTTAAGTCATCGACGTTATCTTAGGAATGCAAATATTTTTGAATAAGTGATAAAATAGTGTACAAAATATACAGCTTAATGAGTCTTACACTTCAATAGCCTTGTTCCAGTTTATTATGTAGCCACTAAGGCTAAATGTTTCCACATGTACCACATGTATATTGCCCCTTTCTGTTCCAACGTATAGCCATTTGCTTCCAACAGGTAAGTGAAGGCATGTTACCCTGAAAATATTAAAAATTGTAAAAATATATATCAACATCATTCTTTGCATCATAAAATAGTAATCTAACCTCTCTCTTTGAAATTTGAGACTCTGAACTACTTGAGGTGTTTTCTGTCGTATACTCCACAAGTGTAATGTGTCATCCGCTGTAACCGTTACAAAAGCACCCTCATTGATCAGAAATTCTACAAATATTACTGCACAATCCGACTCGCCTTCGTGTTTCGCATGAGCATCTACACCTGGACGTCCAAGTCTGTTTGGAGTAATACATAATTATCAAAAATCTAAAGTGCATAACCGAATCCACATACATTCGAATGAACCCAGATTTATCTCCAATCACTAGAAGTCTCTGCACGGGGTCAAAAGCGAATGCAGTTGGGGAGTAGGGAAATCCGTGCCGAAAAGTCTGAAATCAATTTGTTTTGATTATATAATTATATCTGACTAAGAATTTACATAAAAAATTAATTTGAAGTTGTTCAAAGATATTGAGGTTTTCTGTATAACAACAAGAAAGTAATAGTCAGCCATAAGCCGTATACTATATGTTAGAACAGTCTAGTGTACCGGTTAAACTTTAAACCGAGTGCGCGGTGCGTAATATAAAATCAATTTTGCCATACATTTTGCAAACTTTTTATTTATATACATTCTTTCGGGCTGAAGCACGTTCATCCGTTTCCTAAGCTCACGGAATCTCATTTTGGAAAACAAAATAATTTTGAATATAATTTGGTTATAATGGGGTTTTTAGCTAATCTTAGAGCGCTACAAAATTTTTTTATTAAAACAAAAAAGGTTTGAGATATCTTTATTCCTGTGAAAGTACATTCGATACCATTACGTATTGAACTTGATTTCTTTTGCATGTCCACTAAGGGCACGCTTGCAGAAGTCCTGACGTTGAACTAAATTTTCGCATGTTTTCAAGCATAAATCAGCCGATAGTGATGCAATTTCGATATTCGTACTAAGATCAACAATTGTCTCTAGTTTGTTGGCATAGATTTGACGTAGCCCCACAGGAAATAGTCTAACGGCGTCAAATCGCACGACAGAGGCGGCCAATTGACTGGGTAATTATTGCTTTTCAATAAATCGGTTGTGACATTCGCTGTTTGGCTAGTGGCGCCATTCTTTTAATTTTTTAAGAAAAAACCTTTTGTATCGCCCTTATTGAAAAACCCGCTCTTAAGGTTGAGGCCACTGACATTCGGTACGAAATTTTAATAATTTCGACTCGTTGTTGCGTCGTATAACTTTCCATGATGAAATGGCAAACCTTACTGAAGCGAAATGTAAAAAGAGTGGAAAAAATATGGCGTGGTTTGCAAATTGGGTACCAGTAATATATTGCGTGGGCAAGGACAAGACAAATTTGTGTATCAATCACCGAAAAAAGTCAAAATTTGAAAGCTAATTTAGAATCAAGATTTGGCGAGCAAGTGCTACATACTTTGGCCTGAATACGTATATGCAAGTGCGAAATAAAGAACATATAAGAATCAACGAATATAGGTAACCTTTTCACGGTATATGAAAAGGTACTTGGTGCTAGAAATTGGCGAATGAGGTGGTGTGGTGTATGTATGTAAACCTCGGAAGAACAAATAACTTAAGTTTAGCATATAATTTTATAAATTTCACAAAAATAAGTATTTATTTCTTTTTTCAAAATTATTTTTTCTGACACACTGATTAACTTTTCTTTTGACATTCATATCCGTCCAATAATTATTTGTTTTAAGCCAACTATACATATTTTCAAACAAACACAAGCAATATACAATTGCGTTGATAACAAAAAAATGTAATAGCCGCGTGTGTCTTATGATAGTTTCAATCACTGCTACCAAATAAAACAAACGCCAGCTACAACATTTCTTTATATAATTCTTTCAATTGCAACCCAAGTTTTAGATTATTGCTTACAAAAAATATAAGAACTATAATTACCCTTTTAAGTGAAAAATGTTCCGCCTTTAAATGTTCCGGTATTTCCTGCTCTTGTCGGAAAACCTGTGGTTGCACGCTTTGTCGAAAACCATCAAGGACTCCCTTGAATGTGAATTTTTTCATTTTCGTGTGAGTACAATTTTACTTCGAAACTTTAACGACCCGTTTGATTTTCGAGTTCTGTAAAAAAAAATTAGTCTTAAATAATTTAATAATAAACAAGGGTTTTGCAAATTTGATAAACTTTTGTACATGCAGATATTTAAATATATAGCAACACATAAGAAAAATCATCCTTTACGTTTTCCGAAAACCGCGTGATAACATAATTACACTTTGAAAGCCCATATTTTAAAAGATGTTGTTTATAGCAGAACAACTACTTATATAAGATAAAACAGAAACAACGATAGAATTGTACCATTGAACGTTCGTAAGCCAGAATAATAAATTACTGCTGACATCATATCGGAAACTTAGCTTAAATATAGTACTAAAGAAAATTATATAGGTCAATCTATGTTGTTGTTGTTGTAACGGCAGAATTCTGCCGTTCCCACGACAGTCTGGTCCACGAAAACCGGAACGGACTTGGATTTTTATCCGGGAAGGGACTGTCAACTCGGCAGAATTCTGCTGTTACAACAACAACAACATGCCAATCTAATCACTTTGAGTTCTAAAATTGGTACGTATTTCCCTATATAAATGAGGACATACAGCGACGAAAGGCTCCTGTTCATTGACTTGGTTGCCGCAAATTACTTTACTGGAAGGTCGACAAGTTCGTTACCCTTAATGCCTTTATATCTAGGGATCTATGACTATTATATTTGCTTATTCATGGAAGCTCTATTAAGCTTAGTATATTACTCCACTATCATTGTTGATTTGATTTCAAAGGACGAGATACGCTCTCCGTGAAAGTTTTTCTAATATAAACTCTTCATACGTGCTTGAAAAACTACTCAAGGACATCAACAGTTTAGTATGTATGTCCTGGTTATCGTCGATAAACCCTGTCACTTTTACTGCCCAGAAATATATTGAATCTTAATTCAAATTATACCATCTTGGTCTTCAGTAGTGTAGTGATCTTAAATTACTTCTAGTGCAGTGGTGGAAAAATGCACATGCAGTTTGGCCAGTTATTTTTCAACTGTTTCAAGGAGAACCCTTTAGACCCAATATACCGTTCAATATTTCACTATTGTTTGAATTTCATTATAAAGAGTAGTAGTTTGGTTTTCAGGCCCAGGTTTTCTCAACTAATCGTTAGCACACCACATCTGTAGTACAATCCGTAAAGCGCACAGTACAACATTTAGAGTCATAAACGCCAAGATAATTTCAACAAAAATCACACTGTAAAAGGACAGTTCTGGTATCGTTGGACTTGTCAACAGTTTTTGACGCTGTCAATCATACAAGAAAACTAGAAGACATTGAAAAATATACGCCTCATTCAACATTAACTGAGTCGTACTGTTCAAACGGTATTCAATCATCCGAATTATTTCGAAATTAAAATTCCAAACTTTGTTCTTCTCACAAAAACTTCTCGATTTCGCTAACCAGTTGTTCTGATGTCGTTATCAACAAGCTTCTCCAAGCCTTTAAATAGGAAAAAGCTGGGTTAATCGGTCTGTTTGACAGTTCTCCACTTATTTGGGATGTACTAGTTGCTTACTATAAGGACTATATTTCCAATTGACTAAAAATTATTAATACTCATGATCCAAATCTAAAATTATCAACATAGAATCGTTACATCTTTGGGATAATATCGTTTCATATACCTAAGATCTAGAAATTGGGATTATAATTAATTGTCAATTAAAACTTTTGTTTGGGCTGGCAATACTACAGAAAATATTTTTGCTGAGAGAACAAAATAATGATTTTGAGGGAAAGCACAACCGAAATGGTTGTGTATCTAAAAGAATCAAATGAATAACCGAAATTATATTTTGCAGAGTACTCTTATTCTTTGTGAAAGAAATTTTAATGGAACTAACTAACTTTAGATTTAAATCGAAATGTAATAACTGGCATGAGCTATTACTTCATACACATGCACATATTTTCCAATTTAGTGTTTTAAAAAACATGCGAAAATTTTGTAAGTGTCTCTTTTGAAAGAATTCATTTCAAAATTATTGGTATTATCTTTGTTAAATATATGTTGTTGGACTTTTGCAGGAATGTAACAATGTTTTAACAGTAATTATGTGCAATATTATATTTTTACACACTACCTGTGTAATCGCTTCATATACATATGATATTTATCTTTCAAAATCAAACCGAAGGCCTCTTTATCATAAAATTAGTCCAGCGAAAAGATGTCGGATGTAACACTATTTAGAAATATTTATATCGCAAAAGGTATTTGAGATGGTGTTAACTGACAACAGGTTACATAAAGTCAAGAAGAGTTTATGTGAAAGTTCAACAAAGATTTAGTAAGAGAGTACATATAAGGGCTTCTGTATATTTTATTTTACGTATAAAATACTGTGTGTATATCTACATCATATCCACACTCTTGTATTGTTTGGTTTTCTGTATAAATGTATGAAAACTAGTAGATATTATTTGGCAAGAATTATCACGGATCTTACTTAAAAATAAGTAATATTTTTTGTGCTTTGAACTACTATTACTTTCAATAAATACTACAGAATTGCTTCATCAATTCGATATAAGTGAATGCAAATATGTTGATAAAAAGGTAGAGATGAATACTGCAAGGATATTTCTGATGCGAGTACGAACATACACACTTTTTCTTGTGTGATTATATACGTTAGGGTGTCCGTTATTTTCCAAATGAATCTTATTTTTGTCATACTCATTTTTACAATGAAAAAGTATTCAACGTAAATTGAATATTAATTTTAAATTTAAACCGCAGCTTAACCATACTCATCTTTTCATGTATTTAATATAGGTTAAAAGTTACAATACATCAGATAGTTTTCTGATATTTTGCTTTAAATAAGTAAACCTATAACACTTGGTAGGAAAATGTACTACTATTGTAGAATACTGATTGTCTACTGTAAAATTGGAGGTTTATTTTCTTTGCAGATAAATTATTTATCTCAGAAAATCAAAAAATCACATATAAAATATTTTTGAAAAGTTAAATTTAGACACAGATTAAACTGAAATAAATAAAATGTTTACGTTGGATCCTTTTTTAGAGCAAAAACTAAAACTTCAAACTTTTCCCGAAAAAATACTTACGAAATAACGAACACCATAATATACATACACAAACACATAACTATAACTCCAAACATTTTTGGTATAAATAGCACAAAGCTTACACTGCTTTATGCGACCTGCAAAATGGTGCAAAAAGAGTAAAAAAGTGCACAACATATTATATATTAATTTAAATTTATTGATTTTTTGACCGATTTTGTAGACATTACGAAGTAAGATGTCAAATCTGCATGGAATACAAATAAACAAATTTGATTGAAAATAGCTTTACAAAGTCCTAGCATCCATACATTCATAGAAATCCTCACAAGAATTAACGTTTTCTGAAGAACTACATCAATATATTCCTAGCAGAACCTAAATTTTTGCACAATTTTTAAAATCTTATATTTAACACTTACGTTTCGCAACATATTGGAGAAACTAAACACTTTTCCCAACGATTTTATTTATTAGGTCACGATGTAATAAAACTTTAAACTTAAACGTCGAATCTACTTTAAAACTTAACTTCAGTTACAGCACAAGGTTAGAGTTAATGATATATTTGCAAATACTCAATTGATTTTTCCCCCTAAATATATAACTTGCAATCTGTTTTTGCACTGAACAAATTCCGAAAATGGCCACACTTTCCTATTTTAGTGAGTATTTGTTTTTTTACAAGCACATTTAATTGCAACATCATGCTATCATAATTTGTATGTGTTATAGTAATTTAATTCTATATTTTTCATTTTTTTAGATTAACACTTCTGGTAGGAAAATGTGGATAAGTCTGTTGTAGGACAATTGCAAAACGGGAGCTGAATGTGTTAGCGAATGCGCATGTTTACAACTTGGCACTGTCCGGGGTTGAATAATATACAAGAAGACTTAGAGTAAAAGCTCTCGTGGTGGTGTAAGCTTATGGTCACATGATAGCTTTGTCGGGGTATATCAACGTTTTCATCGCCACCAATTCACATTTAGATTTTATAATACTGAAAGCTTTCCTAAATATTACGACGCATTATTTCGGCTTTCAAATGAAATTTCAACTCAAACGTTATTCCTAGTCCAACTGAATTGCTGAATAGAATGTGTACATTCTAAATGCATACGAAGTTTATACAAACCAAACTTAAGTTTTTTGTGAAATTTTATTTATTTTTAAGCTGCCAATTTTAGTATGCATTTGCGCTAGAAAATGTTATTACTTACTTTTACTAAAGGCGAACTGCAATCTAAAGTTAGAAAACTATTTTTTTAGTTTAAAAATTGCTATACCGGACTGAAAAACAAAAACAAAAATTATATTTAGTATAACCTTAAACACACTTTGATAAATTTTTGCAAATATTCAAAAATAAAATAATAAATCAGGACTCATACATATATGTATATAAGCGCATATTATGACAGGTTTCCTCCGGGTTAAACTCCTAAACTACTGAACCGATTTTAATAATAATAATTTCTTCTTTTAACAAATATACATAACATAATAACAAAGCAAATGCAAAAAATTAAAAATTAATGAAGCTAGGAAAAAACTAGTTTTTTTAAGTGAGAGTGAAATCTTAAATTTACCAGTGTATTATTCACTAGTTAAAAATTTGTTGGGAACAAAAACTTGAAAAAAATTTTCATGGCTCCACTGTGAATGGCTGAAAATGCTTGTCGCGAGTTAGTTGCGTCCGAAGTCTCGTCTGCGTATTGTTTGATAGTGTCGACGAGAACTAGAAACTCTCCCCAGTAATGAAGACACTTCGGGCCTTGCCAATCTCGACCTCCACACACGACCTGAGCTTAGCAAACCACCAGCATGGCTTCCTAAAAGTGCACAATGAAACCACAGCACATAGGGTCATAAACGCCCAGGTAGTTGAGTTTGCCACAATCAATCACACAACGCGAAACTCCCACAACCACCAGAGGGAATTTCTAATATCTTGTTCGCTAATAATTGCACGATATTGGAACATTGCACGACGAAAAATAGATTTCTTCGAGAAGAAATTTCACTATCAGAAGCTAGCAGCTATCTCAGCTTTTTACGCTGTATTCTTCTGTTATATTGGGTTAAGCAACGCTTTTCCAGAAGTACTTTGTTGTTTTGTTATTGTTTATGTCACTGCATCATATAGACAGGAATGATGAGTGTCTTGTATAGTTTGGTCTTTGTTCGTCGAGAGAGGATTTTACTTCTCAATTGACTACTTAGTCCAATGTAGCATATAGAGAGATATTTTGTGTTTTGTGTTGGATTTCATGGCTGACGTGGGCTGGTGTTGATGCTAGTTTCAAGACGGACGACATCATTCACAACTTCGAAGTTATGACTGTCAACAGTGATGTGGGAGCCTAGTCGCGAGTGCGATGTTTGATGACCACCATTTCCATGTGCTTTGCTCCTTATCTATTCTGGTTGTTAAGGCCAATAATATCAATATCATCGGCGTACACCAGCAGTTGTACACTCTTATAGAAGATGGTACCTTCCCTGTTTAGTTCTGCAGCTCGATTTATTTTCTCGAAGAGCAGTATGAAGTCACACGAATTGTTATAGAACGCATCGAAAAGGTCCTTCCCAATTCTGAGAGAGATTATTACAATATTGATGAAGTCCAATATTCTGCTGGGTGCTAGCGAAGCAATGATGTCTTTATTTGGAAACATGGATCCATGGGCCTTAAGCTTGCGAGTAGAAACTGCTGTACAGTCGATTAGCAGGTGATCTAGTGTTTCAGGCTCAATGTCGCAGAACCGGCAATTTACGCAAGAAGCTGGACCCATGTTTTATAAATGCTTCTTGCTGGCTTGCAATGGCCAGCGTAAAATGCGATCAGTAGTCAGATTTTATCCTTAGGGAGGTTAATTGCGTATCTAAACCTGTTGAGATTGTGCATACCCCTCTGTTGTTGTTGTTGTTGTTGTTGTTGTAACGGCAGAATTCATACCCCTCTCCTTCCCATTAGCAACCTGTCATGCCGCATGCCTTCAGTTGATGCCAATGCCTCTCCCTACCTACTCCTTCTTCCTTGCGAAACAACTCCTTTATGATATGGGGACCTTTATGAAGAATTCAGTTTCTATCATATTAACAGAAGCTGCGGAGCACCACTTAACTCTTTCAACCGCTGGGACGAGAAAAAAAGTTAACGTTTGGCTAGCAGCCTAATTATGATAGAAGTATTCCAGCTGTATTTAATTTGAAAGGTTATCGTTTAGCTGGCAGGCTATTTATGATTAATGATGAAAGTTATAAACAATTTGATTAGGTTTTAGTGGATATAAAAATGAACACCATAGATGTAAAATTCATTATAAATCCAAAAAGTACTTACTTAAATTCTTGAATTTTTCAAATATAAATGCAAATATCTTAAAAGCCTTAAGTCAGCGCAGGTAAGAATTATATAAATTATTAATCTGCAGAACTTCATTTATCCAGCATACATATTGCATTTAAAAAGTACACCCACTATTTTTATTTACTTACGTCGACAGAATAGTTACAACTTACACGCTTTGCTAGTGTCCCGAAGCCAAAGACAAAAATTACAACACACATTATCATTCGTAAATGGAAAAAAACTAGTATTTACCAATCATATTATTTATAATGCCATTAAAAGGGGTATGTTGTGTGTAAATATTATTTGTGTATATTTACATAAAATAATGATGTTTTTAATTCAGCTGAAAACTTATTAATCTGTCAAATACCTTGTTCGCGAAAATTTCTTTATATTGAACATATATACAATTTAATTTTGCACTTATTTCTTTTGTTTAAAACTATTGTTTTTGACGTTGTAACCCCATTTGTTTAAATAAATCAACTCTTAATAAAAAAGTTTCTAATTTTTGCAAAATGATGTCAAAATATATTCTCTAGCAGTGTTACCAACACAAAATAAAAATAGTTAAAGATAACAAATTGCAATGTTTAGTTCACGCAAAGGAACATATCGTAACAAAACTGCAAAATAACGTTTCATCAAAATATTAGAAATTAATAATGCGATTCCGTAAGGGGTCTCCAGTCACTATTTGAGACATTTTGAGGTAAAGTCTCAATTTGTGACTAGTTACTATTCACTAAACAGTCTCTAGCGTTAGTCTCAAAATATTAACTCAAATTTGAGATTTAGTAGTTAGCAGGTCACAAAACTAAAAAAAATTTTGTTTGCCATTTTGAATATACTGAATAGATATCATCATACATATTAATGAATTGTCGTTATTAAAATAAATAAAATATAAGTTAAAAATAAATCAATTTTACATAAATTTCATAAATATTATGAAACAAAGTCAACATATATTTTTATTTTTATAGGTAATTATGTTTTTTGACATTATTATAAAAAAATTAATATGTGATATCCACATATTTATTTTCATTCAAATGTAAAAACATCTCTGAATAATGAAATGTAATAGATTTGGTGACTGTCACAGAATTGCAAAATCTTCTTAAGTCACAAAAAATGTCTCTAACTTATCTCAAATTTAGAGACTTAGGACTGTATCACAATACAGAATCGCACGCTAAATCTCTAGTAACGCAGTTGTAGTTGAGTAATTAATCGATGATCTTAGCCGATAGTGTCGTATTGGAATCGTTGAGTCGATATTAGGCGTACAAAATTGCAATCGATATTAGTAAGTAGTATGTTATCATTAAGCACATGTAGTTGACATACTTATGTATAATTGTGGTGATTTGTTTATTTCATACGTAACTTTTACTTCAATTCTATAATCACATAGAATGAAACCCAAAGCTAAAAAGCATGATGGTACTACCAGCGTGGCTCGCACTGATAAAGAAATACAAGAATTGAAACAAAAGTATGAATCGATGCCGCTTGAAAATGAAATAAAAAAATTTGTGGATATGCCTCTATCTCAAAAAACATTAAAGGGCTTACTGGACTCCAAATATATTGTCCCGACAGAGATTCAAAGGAAAAGTATATTGACAGCATTAATTGGAAAAGATGTAATGGGAACGGCGGTTACTGGAAGTGGGAAGACTCTTGCCTTCTTGATACCAGTAAGTAAATATATATATGTATATATTTTTTAATTCGTTTAATTAAAAATTTAAATCTTCAGGTTATCGAACACTTATATCTAAACAAATGGTCACGCACCGATGGAGTATGCGCGATTGTTATTTCTCCCACTCGTGAACTAGCGTACCAAATATTCGAGACTTTGAAACGAATAGGAAGATATCATGATTTCTCGGCTGGCTTGATAATTGGTGGAAAGAATTTGAAGTTTGAACGAAGTAGAATGGATCAATGCAATATATTGATATGTACACCTGGTAGACTGCTGCAGCATATGGATGAAAATCCCTTATTTAATGCAACTACCATTGAAATGTTAGTGTTAGACGAAGCAGATAGATGCCTGGATATGGGATTTGAAGAAACTATTAATGCAATAGTCGAACATTTTCCAACCGATCGTCAAACTTTATTATTTTCTGCCACACAAACAAATTCTGTAAAAGATATTGCAAGACTCAATTTGCTGGATCCAATTTTTATTGGAGAAAAGTCAAAATCTGAATACATAATACCAGAGTTGCTACAGCAAAACTACCTTGTGATGGAATTGGAGGATAAAATTACGATGTTATGGTCATTTATAAAAAATCATCTCAAACAAAAAATTATCGTTTTTTTTACCAGTTGCAAACAGGTGAAATACGTTTTCGAAATATTTTGCAAACTACGACCAGGTACAAGCTTACTTGCACTTTACGGAACACTACATCAGGATCGAAGAATTGCTATATATAATGATTTTACACGAAAAAGTAATGTTGTACTATTTGCCACTGATATCGCATCGCGAGGGCTAGATTTTCCTACAGTCAATTGGGTTGTGCAAATGGATTGCCCAGAAGACGCAGTTCAATATATTCATAGAGCGGGAAGAACTGCTAGAAATAAAGCACGTGGAGAAAGCCTTCTGGTCCTAACACCGTCTGAAGAACAAGGTATGATAAAAGAATTGGAGGACAAGAACATACATATTAAAAAAATACATATTGATCCGAAAA